TTGGGAGATTGAACTTGGCAATGAACAAATATGGCTTCCAATAAAGCAACACAGATCATACATTGTTTTTGAAACACCGTCAAGGTATTGTCTTTAGGAAATAGCAAAACTTCAAAAACAACTGGCAACCGAATTTGAGATGAAAAATCTAGGTGGACTCAAATATTTTCTAGGTATTGAAGTTGCTAGGTCAAAGAAAGGCATCTTTTTATCTCAACGAAAATATATCTTAGATCTTTTATCAGAAGTTGGGCTACTAGACTGTAAACCTGTAGATACTCCAATTGTCCAGAACCACCAACTCGGAGAATATCCAGACCAAGTGCAAACAAACAAAGGAAGGTACCATAGATTGGTTGGCAAACTTATTTACTTGTCTCATACACGACCTGATATAGTGTATGTGGTAAGTGTAGCAAGCCAATTTATGCATAACCCGAGTAAAGATCACATGGACGCGGTAATTCAAATCATGCGGTACTTGAAGTCCTCGCTTGGAAAAGGTTTGATGTTCACAAAGAATACTCATGTACAAGTTGAAGGCTATACAGACGCTGACTGGGCAGGAGATATCACCAACAGAAAATCCACCTCAGGATATTTTACCTTTGTTGGAGGAAATTTGGTTACATGGAAAAGTAAGAAACAAAATGTTGTAGCATTATCAAGTGCTGAAGCAGAGTTTCGAGGGATGGCTAAAGGTCTTTGTGAGCTTCTCTGGCTTTGAAGACTGTTAATTGAAATTGGCTTTGCTCCGAATAGTGCGATGAACTTTTTTTGTGACAACAAGTCTGCAATTGAAATTGCTCATAATCCGGTTCAACATGATCGAACAAAACACGTGGAAGTAGATCGACACTTTATTAAGAAAAATTTGGAGACCAAGATAATTCAATTTCCATTTGTTAAATCTGAAGATCAATTAGCAGATATAATCACAAAAGCTGTATGTAGTAGAGACTTCTACAACGCACTTGACAAGTTGGGCATTCGAGATATCTATGCACCAACTTGAAGGGGAGTGTTAGCGTTAGCTGTCAACAAAATTGTAGGAACTATAATAGGAATATAGTTATTAATCGTTAATTACTCTGATTTGGTTATAATTATTCTGATTTAGTTATAATTAGAAATAGGGTTTTTTGTGTATATAAATATAACCAATTTTCCTATGTAATACACGGTAAAAATTATATGAAAGTATTATACCACATTAAATCTACTTACAAAATAAAGACATGTAGATTTTCAATTGGTATAATTTTCCTTCATTCTATCAAGATTGTAGAAAAATAATTGTTTGTAATGTGATAATGTAACATAGGAGTTCCAAGATAAATGTTAAGATCATCAATTTATCAATATCCAAAATATTGGTAATATTATAAGCCACATTATCTTGTAAGTTCTTAGAGAAATAAACTTTGGATTTTAATAAATTTAGTTTTTGGCCATGCATTACAAAACTCTTCCAATAAACATTTTATCAAATTTTCTGGATCTAAATATGCTTCATCAATAAGAACTAAGTCATCTACAAAGAAGATGTGAGATAGATATGATATGAATCATATTCTAAAACATAACTATTTCTAAGTTTCATTATAAATCAAAGCCTTAATATTGTGACTCAAACTTTCAATGGCTAGAACAAACAAGTAGGGTAAAAGGGTCCCATTTTCTAATACTTCATAATAGATTAAAATAATTAATGTGACCTTCATTCTAATTGATACAAATTAGTGAAGATTTGGAAGGTGAGAAAAGTATACGAGAATAGGAGTTGAATTATGTTTTTCGTTTTTTTAGTTTATATCTGATCAGAGTTCAGAATCTAAACTGGTGTTCAGATTCTGGTTAATTCTTAGTAGAAGAATATAAACAGAAGCAAATAAATAATAGTAGAAGACACAAATATTTATATTGGTTCCTCCCAAACTGAGAGTAGTCAGTCCCCATTGCTTCACAAAATATTATTACTATAATCAAAACATGATTACGATCACTTATGCATTCTACATATGTCTTTTACATTTGCTCAGACCCAATGTCCAAGACTTCTGCTCAAGCTTCTCACTCAAGACTTCTTGCTCAGGTTCCACGAATCCATGACTTCCTTGCTCAGGCCCTCAGCCCGACTTCAGCTCCAAGCCCCATGAAACGAGCTTTTCTGCTTGCACCCGTCATGTCAAGACTTACTGCTTCAATTCTATGTATTGAGCATTCCTGCTCAAACCCCTCAGGCTTAAGACTTCTGCTCTATGTTTCATGAAACGAGTCTCTCTACTTGCACCCCATCGGTCAAGACTTACTGCTCTAAGTTTCATGAACCTAGTTATCTTGCTCAAGCCACATTGGCTTAAGACATTTCTGCTCAATCAATCTACTTGATTAAGACTTTCACAACTCAAGCACATAGCAACAGACTTACGTGGCTCAAGCATTTTGGCTCAATACTTCCTTGCTTGTATCCCAACGATACAAGACTTCTGCTCAATGAATCCACTTGACTAAGACTTTCACAGCTCAAACACATAGGAAGAGACTTACGTGGCTCAAACATTTTGCCTTGAGACTTCCTTGCTTGTATCCCAATGACACAAGACTTTTATCTAAACTATTGAACAAGCTCAGCAGAATAGAGAGCAAGGCGTACATGATACAAGTATCAGAGGTACGGAAAATTACCATAACAAATACCTTAAGCACTTAAGATTTATAAGATATTCGATGCGTACGAAATCTTAAGGTTTTTACAATTACAACCTACATCAGAAAAATCTGCATATACAATGAGTTGATAATTACTTATCTTGTTACTCTTTCTTCTGGTTGATCCTTGTTGAAGATTCAATTTGAACCTTCAGCCATATTTATAGTCTTTTCAGAAACTAGCTGTTGAAGAGGTAACTTGATCAAGAGTCTTTGTTGTTACTCTATAGGTACAAGAGTCGTTGAAATGACGTGTTAACCCTTTTCACTTCCGTCGTACCACCCAACATAATGTCCGACTCTTGCGTTGCCATGAACACCTCCTCGAGAGGAGATGGAAGTGAGCAATGTATGCATGTGACAAGCACCTTCCCACGGGACAAGAGCCTGACCGACTACGTCTTCGGCCAATGACGAAGCTCATTATCAAGCACGATTAATAGCTTCTGCGTCTGGTCCCCGATAGCCCATCCTCGACACAATAGTTGACTCTTAAGTTATTACTCCTACGCTTCGGAGCAACAACTTAGGGGGCTCCTGTTCTGGACTGGGCCAGATGTTGGCCCATCGTCGGGAACAACCAAACCCAGCTCCTCGTCGAGGAGAGCCTAATGAAGGCCCAATTCATCATCCACACGGGGAGCTCTCGCACATCTCCCCCACGGTCTCCACATGCTCCCCACGCAGGAACACGTCATCAGGAAACTACCCGTGTTCGAAAGAATACGTCACCCACCTTCCGAATATCACGGGGCAGTTGGACCAGGATGAAGACAACGTGCTAGTTTTCCCTACGCCACGTAGATCCTTACAATTATTCGTATTGAGCCTAGTGATTCAATCCAATGCAAAATAATTGTTGGCCCAGTGTTGGAGGCACATTATAAATACCCTTTATCACTAGAGAGTCGGGTATTCTATTCTCTACACTTTGTATTTGCTCTTTCTTTGCTTCGTTTCTTACTTTGACATCGGAGTACATTGCAGGTACAACACCCTCCTCTTCACCACCACCGGCGAATTAGGAGCTCACGACGCGTTGTTGGCTCCTAATCTCATTCTGGTCTGGTAAGATCAATAAGTAACAAATTGAAAACACCAGCGTATTTAACAAATTTAAAAGATGGCCGTTAGCAGCTAGTACACACCATTCATAGTTGGTCTACATATCATAAACATATTAAAAAATAAGGTACATAACAACATAAAATCATAAAAGAGAAATTTAACAAAATAAAAAGGAAAAAAACTCACAAATAATTCAATAAGGACAATTTTAAAATTAAAAAAAAAATAGTTGCTAAACATTTAATTTCACTCTTTAATTCAAAAATCTTTTTTTTTAATATATATATATATATATATATATATATATATATATATATATATATATATATATATATATATATATATATATATATATATATATATATATATAAATTTTGAAGTCTAAAAACGAGGGTTACCTTGTCTCGATCTAGGACCTAAGTCAAATATGAGTTGCTAATTTTGTTAGGTTGGTTTGAAATCTTACTTTTGGAGAAACAAACACCAATACCACCATTCAATTGAATTCATTGAATAACACTTTATTCCATTGTTTTTACTGCTGCACATAAACACCACAATCTCTAAACAACATATATGCCTACACGTTACGTGTCTTGCACAACATTACAGTCATTTTGAAACTCCCCATACCTCCATCACCATACATAACCAGATTCATACTTTAAAAATTGGAAGTTTTGGATGGCTTTTAAAATCAAATGTATGATAAATATGATTAATCTAAATAAACCCATCAGCAAGCGTTTGGGTATATCACACGTCCTTTTGATCTCCCATCTTGTGTAAAAGATGGTAAAAAAAAACTACAAACAATAAAGTCTATTAAACATCTTCACCAAAGATTAAAAGTGGAATGGATATGTTTGTGAACAGTAAAAAATTTATAAGTGCAAGTTTTTCAATCCTTTTTTTATTGTATCTTCGACATTGCTCTAATATTTATGATGATCACAAGTTTTTTTTGGAGTCATAGCATAAGAGATTATAAGATCTAAACGGCAGAAAATAGAAAATTCAGAAACATTCACTTAACATCCAAACATAAAATCCAAACCATTTAAGCCCCTAGAACAAATGTTCAAATTGCAAAACGAATTTCACCTCTAACATGCTCAAATGTAACAAAAGTAAGACCACTCTAATGCTTAACTAGTAGACACAACATAAAAGTAACATAGTTGCCAATCGTTTTTGACATGGCATGCTGTCATATATGATCAGTCATAGTAATAGTCTCCTTCAACTTGGCCAGCTGCAAAAATATAAGATACATTAAAATTTATGGTCCTATCAAATAAAATTCATTGGTAATTCATTTTTTGATTTCAAATCAGCTTTGGCTTCAATTCATTGTTTTTTTTTTAAAACCCAATAGATATATATACAACAAAATCAAAACACAAGGTGTACCAAGATAGAGTAATTTTGAAATCAAATAATTTAAAACTGATGAAGTTTTGAAGTCTAACCCGGAAGATTTTTGCCCCGACTTGCTTGAGCATCAGCTTCTCTGTTAGAAGCCTTGTAACATAAAAACAGGCATTTGTTAAGATCACCATACAATGGGAGAAAATATACAGAACTAATGGCAGTGGTGCCAGTGAACTTATATTCAAGAGTGGAACTAGTATACATGTTTGTGCAAATTAAAATGTCATTCAAAAAAAATATGATCATAAATATTTCTCAAATGCAAATTAAAAGAGGTAGCAAGTACAAGTAATTGTTTTTCAAATACCATCTTGAGTTTTCCATAGATCAAAACCCAATTAAGAAAGATGGCAATTTGACAAACATTTTTTCATTCTGTCAATAAACAAAATAGAGCAGAGGGTATACCCTAGGAACATGTTGGACCTCGACTGACTTAAAGTTACTCTTCAAGTCCAGAGCCTCATTACGCAATTCCCTTAAATTCGGGTTGTTGACTTTCCACTTGCCAGCAAACTGTCGCAAAATGAATAAAATATCATGGTAAATTCCTTACAAAAAGTAAGATATAAAACAAATGATAAATAACAATCACTATAATTACTTAAAATTTCAAATCACTGTGTAGTATTTTGTGAATAATTGGAAAATGCATATACACCAGAGAACCAACCTGTTCGCAAACAAGCTTAGAATCGCCTCGGACTTCAACATGATCATAACCTTTTTTACTAGCTTCTTCCAATCCCAAACGTAAACCTTCATATTCAGCAGAATTATTTGTTTGAGTGCCCAATCCTTTACTGAAGCGATGGACCTTTAAGAAACCCAAGAGTTAGCTACATTTGACATATAGTTTATAGTATATAGTTTATAATACAAATATGAATTGATACATAAAGTATACACCTCATTCCCAGAACGGAGTACAGCTCCTGCACCAGACTTTCCAGGATTTCCACTGGATGCACCGTCGAACTCGACGATACATTTGTGCTGCAAGATAGAACAGAGTTATGATACTACACAGTTACAATGCCCCCAATCATTTGTGCGTGAGCGTGTGTGCAACAATGCATAGTGTATATACAAATAAAATAGATATGCAAATTGACATCTAAGTCAAAATATCAAAACTAAGCTCAAATTTAAAATTCACAAGTACTAAAATGAAAAATAGAAATGGTTATGACTATTGATCAATAGTGTAAATAATTTTTACATATAGTAGTTCTTAGTAAAAAAAGAATAGTAAATTAAAAGGTAAAAGGCATAGATCCAGTAAGTGATTTTACAACTGAATCACACAATTTGTAGTAGTAAAAACTGCATCAGACACTTACAAACAGTTAAGCAAAAACTAATCTCTAAACATTCATTTAGATCGGTTAGCGGTTAAGATCATTGTGATCATAACTGTATCACCGAGTATATATGCCCAAAGACGGATAAAATCGTAACTTGAGAGTAGACAGCCGCCAGTAAATAACTATATCACCGGGGTATATAAGCCGGATGCATAAAATAGTAACTGGAGTGAACAGGTCGCCGGAAAATAACTGTATCACTGGAGTATATACACCAGAAGACACTTAAAATCGTAACTCTGTGCATAGAACGCTGGAAAAAAACTGTATCCCTGCCGAAAAATAACTGCATCACCAGAGTATATACGCCGGAAAAATAGCTGTATCACTAGAGTATATACACCGGGAAATAACTGTATCACCGGAGTATATACACCGGAAAAATAGCTGTATCACTAGAGTATATACGCTGGGAAATAACTGTATCACTAGAGTATATACTCCGGATTAATAACTGTACCACTAGAGTATATACGCCGGAAAATAACTGTATCACCGGAGTATATACTCCGGAATATGCATAAAACATCGTATCGGGAGAATGTGCGAGTCGCCTAAAAAATGTAAAATCGGAGAAGAAACAAAATAAATGCATAAAATCATATCTGGAGAGTGCACAGGTCGCCGGAAAATAACTGCATCACCAGAGTATATACGCCGGAAGACACATAAAAACGTAACTGGAGAGTACACAGGTAGCTGGTAAAATATGTAAAATCGGAAAGAAAGAAGAAACCAAACAAAACGCATAAAATCGTAACCGGAGAGTACACAGGTCGCCGGAAAAATGAAAAATCGGAAAGAAAGAGGAAACAAAACAAATGTTAACGATGCAGATAGACACCGGAAAATGCATCAAACAGTCACCGGATAACGCACAATCACAAACAGAGAAAGAGAAAAAACCTAATGTTAAACAATTTGTAAATAAAATGTGAAGGAGATGATTCACCTCTCTCTGGTTTCCACGATTCATTGTTTCTTTCTTTCCCTCTTGTTTGCGCTTTATTTTTCAACTTCAATGCTTGCACTGATACTATACTACTACTATTTATAGACGGTTTTTTTGTAATATAAAGAATATTTTATTTTCCTTTTTAATAGCAAAATGAAAATGAATGAACAAAATCTTGAAAGGTTTGTAAAAAAGTGCAGTAAATGATGTGAGAAGATATTTTAGAGAGAAAACGACAAAAGTAACGGTTACAAAATTTCTACCGCTGGTCATAGCACCATATCATCATTACCACACTTATTTCTTAATAATTTATGATTAATAATAATTAATTACTTATGATCCCACTTATAAATTAGTAAGAGCTAATTCCTCTAATGTTAATATTAGATGCAAATAACAATTTGGAAATGACTTGTTTATTTTTTTGAAAATACAGCTAATAAATAGAGAAAATTTAATGTGGTGTAACATACTACAGCTATGTTCGGCTAAAATTTAGGCAACATATTTGACTACAAAAATTAAATTAAATCAAATTACTAATAATGTTAAAAACTAAGACACTTTTGACTAATTCTTATCATTCCCACCCTTTAACTAGACTGCATTTGCATTTGTAGCTAGTTAACTCCTGAAATATCACAAATCCAAGCTTCCTTCTCAGCTCCCGAAATGACTCCAATTTCAGTGGTTTGGTGAGGATATCCGCTAACTGATGCCTTGAACCACAAAACTGAAGTCGCACAACTCCATCATTCACAAGCTCCCTTAAGAAATGGTAGCGTACATCAATGTGCTTACTCCTGCCATGCATCACTGGGTTCCTTGACAACTTAATTGTTGAGCTATTGTCACAAAAGATGACAATACTTCCACTGCCTTTGTATCCTATCTTTTTCAGCACCCTTTGCATCCATATTGCTTGACAACTGCTTTCCGCAACTGCTACAAATTCAGCTTCCGTCGTGCTCAACGTTACTATCGGTTGCTTTCGAGAAGACCAAGCTACTGCAGCTCCACTTAGCATAAAAACATAACCTGAAGTACTTCTTCTATCCTCTATTGATCCACCATAATCACTGTCAATAAAGCCAATCAATTCCATATTTCCTTTCCTTTGGTAAAGAATGTCGTACATTGTTGTACCTTGTAGGTAACGTAGAATTCTTTTCGCTGCTAAATAATGAACTTCTGTAGGTCTTGACATATACCTGCTCAATAAGCTAACTGCATACATTATGTCTGGCCTTGTACTGGTCAAGTACATCAGGCTTCCAATCAGCTGCTTAAAAAATGAACCATCCATCTCAACACCATTGTCATCTTTGGAGATTTTAAATCTTGGAACCATTGGATTTTCAACAAAATTGTTATGCTTCATTCCAAACCTTCTTAACACTTCTGTCACATACTTTGTTTGACTGATGAATATACCACCATCAAACTGAATTACCTCTATACCAAGAAAATACCTCATCTTGCCCAAGTCTGACATATCAAATTCCTTCATCATGGACTCTTTGAATCAGACATCATTTTTTCATCATCTTCGGTATAAATTAAATCATCAACATACAGGCTAATGATCAAAAGTTTATTTTGTTTGACTTTGGTAAACAAAGTTTGCTCACTATCCTCCTTCTCAAAGCCTTCCTTTCTGAAGTATGATTCAATTCGGTTGAACCAAGTTCGTGGTGCCTGCTTGAGTCCGTACAAAGCTTTGTTAAGCTTATATACCTTATGCTCCTCATTCTTTATTTCATAACCCCTTGGCTGCTTCACGTACACATTTTTAGCTAACTTCCCATGAAGAAATGCTGACTTCACGTCCAGCTGAAACACACACCAGCTTCTTTGTGTAGCAAGTTCCAAAATCATTCGAACCGTGTCCATACGAGCTACATGAGCGTATATTTCTTCATAATCAACTCCATATTTCTGAGCATACCCTTTTGCGACCAAGCGAGCCTTGTATTTTTCTAATTCTCCAAGCTTATTCAACTTGGTTTTGTACACCCATTTGAATCCTATTGTTTTCGCTTCTTTCGGCAACTCCGTGAGATCCCACGTTCCATTCTTCTCAATTGATCTCATTTCTGCATCCATGGATGTCCTCTATTTCTCTTTCTTTACTGCTTCATCAAATGAAGTAGGATCAGAGTGAACTGCATGAGTAAATAGGACTAAGTGAGTTTGTACCTCTTCCTCTTCATCAGAAAGGCCTTCACTGGAGACATAGTCATTCATCCACCATGGTGCTCTTCTATTTCGGGGTTTTGTCACTAGAGAAGCTGCATCTTCTTCTTCATTACCATCAGCTGCATTTTCTTCTTCATTACTATCACTCGATTCCTCCATTTTTCCACTTTTTTCATCTTCCTATTCCAAATCAAACGTGTTATCTTCTTCGGAGCTCTTCTCCCAATTCCATTGCCCGTCTTCTTCAAAGACGACATCCCGGATGATAACAATCCTCTTGGAGGTAGGATCATATAGTCGGTATGCCTTTGATTCATCACTTACACTAAAAAAGACATAAGAACGGCTCTTATCTTCAAGCTTTGTTCGTCGAGCATCCGGTACATGAGCATATGTCGTACAACCAAAGACACTCAAGTGTCCGACTGAAGGCTTCACCGCACACCAAGCTTCCTCAGGTGTCATTTCCTTCACTGATGATGTTGGACATTTATTAAGAAAATAAAATGCCCAGTTTACTGCCTCTGCCCAAAATTTTCTTGGAACATTTTTCTCAACCAATAAGCTCCTCGCCATATTCATCACGGTTCTGTTCTTCCGCTCGGCGACTCCGTTCTGCTACGGTGTATGTGCAGCAGTTAATTGTTGCTTGATTCCATTCATTTTACAATATTCCTTGAATTCATCTGATGTGAATTCACCTGCATGATTCGTTCTTAGACACTTAATGGACAAACCCGTTTCTTTTTTCTATAAGAACTTTAAATAGCTTAAAGGTAGTGAATGCATCTGACTTATAAGCAAGAAAATACACCCACGCCTTCCTACTATAGTCATCAATGAAAGAAATGAAATACATCTTGTTTCCCTCTGAAATCGGAGAAATCGGACCATAAATATCATCACGAACTAGCTCCAATTTTTTCGATGCTCTCCATGTACTTTTCCTTGGGATTACATCTCAATGCTGCTTCCCTTTCAAGCAATTAGTGCATACAATTTCACCCTCAGAGAAACTTGGCAAGCCTCTCACCATGCCTTTTATTTGCAAAGTCTTCAACCCTTTGTAGCTGAGATGACCGAATCTTCGGTGCCAGAGGTGCACCACGTCTTCAGTGGTTGCTTGGAAGCACTCTACCTTGCTGTCTCTTTTGATTGATGGAGTGCTTGATAGCAGCATGAACATTCGATTTGCTGTCATGTTGGTATTATACATGTTGTTATTCATTCATGATCTTAGTTTGGATGCTAGAGGTTTTGTTGTTTGCTCATTGTATATTATCTTAATGATGTTTGTCGTGTTTGATATTTGTTTGTGGCTCCTGAATTTTCATGATTTTCTTTGCTCAAATATTCCAAAGGAAGGGATCCCATAGTCGGCTGCCATGTCATGATGGATAGCCTTGTCCAACTTTCCCTCGAGACCTTGTGAAAGTCTTGCTTGTTTTTCAACTTAAATTTAGAGAGTTGGTTAACTCTACATAAGTACCATGGTTATGGATACTTACTCCCCTCTGGAACCTTGATCGTTATCAAGAGTTCTTCATCCCTAGTTAGGCCGAACTACGGTGGCTCTGATTCCCCTTTCCTAGTCAGGATACGTAGGCACAAGATGCGATATCTTGTCGAGCCCTCTAATCACTAACAACTAACACTTATCTCTCTCCTTTTGGTCTCGTTAGAACCAATTGGTCTTGCAACTTAGAATTAGGTTTAGAGTTGGTAAACTCTACGTGAGCATCATCGTTATGATTACTCACTTTCCCCTTTTTGACTTTCGTTAAAGTCAATCTTTAGTTAGTTTTCAACTTAGACTTAAGGAGTTCGTTAACTCCATGTAAGTACCATGGTTATGGATACTTACTCCCCTTTGGAACCTTGATCGTTATTAAGAGTTCCTCATCCCTAGTTAAGAGAACTACAGTTGCTCTGATTCCATCATAGTCAGGATACGTAGGCACGAGATGCGATGTCTTGGCGAGCATACTTAGTGTATATCCCCCTAGGTCTTTACCTTAGCACAGTTCCCTTAGCAAGCAACTTTAGCATAACACAAATACTAACAAGAGGTTCCTGTAGAGTACTACAGATACTTAGGATGCTAACACCTTTCCTAAGTATAACCAACCCCCGAACCTTAGATCTCTTAGCTTCGTTGCTATTTAGCGAACTTAGGATTTTCTTCGATCTTTAACCTTTCCTTTGGATAAATCAAAACTCGATGGTAAACTTCATAATTTGTGATTCAAGTTAATTAATAACTTGATATCCAATTCTCACCGCAACCCTTATCATCTAACTCCACTATTTCCGTATAACAAACTTATCATCGTCGTATTAACTTCTTCTATTATTATTTTTCCGCCACATCTTTTTACTTATTAACAAAAATAAAAATAAAAATAAAAATAAAAAATTAACTACTAACCTCAATAAATTAACTAATTAATTTCTCCCACGTACAAAAACTAATTTTAAAATAATAACTATTAATTAATATTTTTAATTGATAATTATTAATTAATTTTTCCACGTATAACAACTAATTTCCTCACGTACAAAAACCAACTTAAATCCACCAATTCATTAACTTCTTCCATCATCTATAAATCACCTTTAAATCCACTAATTCACCAACTTAAATCCACTAATTCATTAACTTCTTCCATCATCTATAAATCACCTTTAAATTCACTAATTCATTAACTTTCTCTATCAGCCATTTTACAAATTATTTACCCACTAATTATACTATTAATTTTTCTATTTGCTTTTCTTCTACCCAAATGTTACTCTTTCTACACCAATGTATCTAACTT